CACCTGGTTATGTCTCCGTTGAAGATGGCGGCTGTCTGGCGCAGGAAGCTGTCCAACCTCAGGGATCTTTCCAAGCGCTGCAGGTAGAGAGGTTTGGCCAGGCCAGAGCTCCCCGATGCCCCGGCCTCGAGTCGGCCACCCTGCACCGACGCCATGCTGCACAGACACCTCTGCCCAGCAGGGCAGCAACTTTTACTGAAGAGAGAGAAGTAAGAGAGGAGATAAATAGAAAGAAACAGTTAGGCAGATGGTTCAAGGTCAGAATGAGCAACACAGGACTCCCTACTAACTGTGGGATGAGTAGGCTCTGCTGGGTTGTTTAATTCAGCTGAACCTCAGCAAAAACTGGAGGTTTTGGTTTTATTTTCTGGGATGTGGGAGATATCCTGGTTCAACTCTGCTAAATCACTGCCAGCGTCTCAATCTTTGTCATGGTAACAACATGACTATTTGGTCCAAATATCAGACAACTCTACTCCAATGGCTATGCAGTCAGTATGGTACCAGCAGGTACTTCACTGAGCGAAACACAGTATAAACACTGGACCTACCTTCTCAGTATGGGATGCCATTGTTCTTGATTCCAACATTAATGATCAAACAATGGTGGAAATCCCCTACAAAAGAAGAAGCCAGTCAAACACATGACAAAAATAAAGTGTCAGAAAGTTAGTGCTCTTTCACATTTTGTGTTCTCTGCAATACTGACAATATAAGTGCTTGTGATTTTCGAGGAACTTTTCCACAATAAAATATTTTGTTTACAAATGCCAAAAATAAATAAAACAGAGAAAACAACAGCTCCTGCAACGTAACTATGTATATTAATACTAGATTATTTCTCTATCATGTTAATAATGTAAAAACTTAATTGAGTAATATGCATGTCTTGGATCAGCTCTACCTTTTAAAAAAAGTTATTTTCACATCAGTCGCTTCAGTTTATTAATAGGACTGATTTGGGATGGTAACAGTTAATCTATGATGGATTAATCGATCAATTGATAGGCTGTGCAATGCTGTCAGAGTATATGTGTTGTGTTGGTGTGAGCTTTGATTGTGGAAAAAAAGCATTTGGTGTTGTTTGGTATAGCAAAGTTTTTTATGTTTATAAAAAAATCACAATTAGGGTTGCAGCGATATACCGGTTTAAAGGTACACCCTGATATAAGTGATGATGGTTATCATACTGTGTACATTTGCTTATCAACGATATTACAAGAAAAATGCAACTGGACGGAGAATCACTCCTTTATTTTAGTTATTGTCAAAGAGGAGGCTTTTTAAAAATACTATAAAACTTCAATTAAACTCCCAGTCCCTTTTACCAGCCCTGTGTGGCTACACATTTTGACAAATAAATGCCTGTCACAATTAGAGGCCTGGTCTGGTTGCCAAGCAGTTTATTTATTTTATAGAAGTTCTTCACTTGTATAAAACTGTTTTGATGGCTACCTCAAATTATGCGTCCATTCCTCCATTACCCTGTAAGTTATTCATATTCCTTTAGTCCGTAGGGGTCCTCAGATCAAAAGAATCAAAAAGGTTTTTCATAAATATTAATCCAAGTTGTGAGAATTGTTTTAGCAGGATAAAGTGGTGTGTCGGTGTGCCAGGTGCCGTAATCCTCAAGTGCTGTAACTCTCTCTGAGGCGTCTGTCGGAGCTACACTATATGAACGGTTCATAGCTGAAATGTTAACTGAAGACTAATTTTTGAACAAGTAATATTCATACTGGTTTAATAAGTAATTTGACTGCATTTCCTTTTCTTTGCTGAGCCACAGTTTTGTGTGAAAGGGATTAAAGGCCTGTCCCAAATATAGGCCTGTTGATTTCAGTGACTTAAGCAAATAATTAATTGGAGTTTTATGGATCTCTATTAACAAAATGGTTTCAAATTACACAATGAAGTAAAAAAACAAAAATAACTCTTCCTTTTTTATTCCTTCAAGGGTCACTCTGACTGTTAATAATACAAATTCTGTATTACTGTGATACCTTGAAACCCTGATATTTTCTGAAGGTTATCATACCATGAAAATATCATGCTGTTGCAACCTTATTCACAGTTGATCCAGGAGAGTGCTTACAATTTGCAACCCTGGGACAGACTGTATGAATTAATATAAATGTGACTTATCCAAATATTAATATTGTCTAAAATAACATTGAATTTCTAAGTGTGCTAGTGATTGTTTTGGCAGTGACGCCTGTGTGGTCAACTTAAATCCGTTGTGCTCTGTAATTACTAACTTACTCATTACATATTCACTTTACTTTCTGTGACAAGTTCACAGAGGATGACAAGGACTAAAACCAAGCAGGAGTTTGTTCCTCTATTTTAAATAAAGAATAACTAAGAGGTGTATTATTAAAAATAACATATATCTTCATATACTAGCGGTAGTTATATTATGATTAGCTAGCTAGCAAATCCAAGCTAGCGTTAGCCGGGGGTTGCTAGCTAACCTTGGATGGTGAACTGGGCTCTAGCTTGTAGGCTAACGACCGTTAGCTGGCTAAGCACAAGCAGCGTTGCCTCCGATCAATGATAGTAAAGGGTCAAGGTGCTTGTATGCACACACGCTGACAGCTTACTGGTTTCAGTAAACCACACCACAAATATTAATTAGTAGTTTTTTTCCTAAACACCTAGCATTTGCGGAGGCTAACTCCTTGCTATCTGGAGTCTAATGTAGCTTTTCATCCTAAACGTTAGCTTATCAAACACTGAGCGTTTTGACACACACGTCCTCTCACACCATTAATATGAAGTATTCAAATCGGCCCTGTCTCTTTAAGGCCACCACCTCCCTGCCTAAACATTGTATTAACATAGATATCGGTTTAATGGCATTTCTTAAACTAAGCTAGTCGCGATGCGGCGACAGCACAAGGCCCGCCGCCCGCGCCTCTCGTACCCCTGTTGCGGACACGAGCAGGGACTCGGTTGCCTGGTGAACGAATGATCCCCATGTTTAAATTCTTTCTCCCTCCCGGCCATCTTCCCCCATTGCTCCTTCGCCATAACAACCACCATGGAGTCTCTCACCTCGGCCCCGTGTCCCCCTTTTCGCCTCTCTCTCCGCTGCTGCCGACTCGCGGTTCTCTGACTCCAAAATGGCGGTTTGAGGCGCCGAGCGAGTCTGTGAGCTTTGAGTCGGCAGCAACAGCAGAGAGGCGGCCACTTTCTGTTACTGAGAGAGCAGAGACACGACGCCATGGCGAGGGTACAGCAAGGAGCAGGCGTTTTAATCAATCGCAGAGAGAGGGACGCTCGGCCGTTGGCGTCTCCGAGGGCATAACCGTGACCAGAAAACCAAGCGGCATCCATGGCTAATTTACTCAGGTGCATGTCCACCTTATATGTCGTTTTTGGCCGTATATACACAACTTGTACAAATATATCGATTAAATGCCGATGTCGATTAATAGAGTCTGACAACTGCGAAGATTACCGAGCTGCGTTGACGTCATCACACGGGAACTCCGTTTTAGGTATGGTGAGGCAGTTTGGATACCCACTTCAAAATGTGGAAACTGCAAGATTATTCTCTGATGTCAAGTGTTGACATTGACCTCCAGCAAATATACAATGTTAATACTTATATTCATGTATAAATATACTAACATTTATATTATTAATGAGTGATACACACAGTTTAATCATGGTGCTGGAGAGTGGTGTAGTGGTAACTGAGGAGGGTGTACTACAAGATAGAAGGGTAGGTTACAGAGAAGGAAGTGGGTATACTCTCCTATATATTCCAATGGCTTTTCGGCTGACAGGTAGGTGCACTCTAAATGGACATTAAAAGAGGTGGGTATACCCCATATATCCAAGTATACCCTCCACTGAGGCTGCTAGCAGAGGTAAGACCAACTCATTGTTTTGCAAGTCTCAAGTCTTTGCGCTCAAGTCCCAAGTCAAGACAGGCAAGTCCCAGTCAGGTCCAAAGTCAAGCCCCAAGTCCTAAAATCAGCACTGTCCACACCCAAGAAATAAAATGTTTACACACATCCTAATGCCTATTGTTCTGCAAGTCACAAGTGAGTCTCAAGTCAAGACAGGCAAATCCCCAGTTAAGTCCGAAGTCAAGCCCCAAGTCTTTAACTTTGAGGTCCTAAATTAGTCATAATGTAATTAAGCAATATAACACAAGAGAGAGTGCTGTTGTACTGTATGTCAGCACGGCTGCGATTCGGTGGTAGGCACAAGGCCACAGGATGAGTGCTGCAGATAATCACAGCCGCCATTTTAACACAGGTCATTTTAACGACAGAGCAGTAACTGATTGAATTTACAAAAGTCATAAAAGCTCGAGACCTTCAGGTACAGAGCTACTTTGTGCTGTGTTGACAGATGCAAATACTCACTGTCATAACTAAAATTTGAAGCTGCAGATTGGAATGCCAGAGAAGTACAACATTTGAAATACTGAATGACTACATTTTGGAGTTTTGGACCCATTTGTCTTTACAACGTCTGGGTTATTAAAGCAATGGCAGTAGAGCAGCAACAATTAATCAAAACTAATCATGCTAATATTAATCATACTAAATGTTAAAACAACTTTGTTGGAAGTTGTTACGTCTTCATCTGTCATTTTCAACCCATGTTTTGCACTCAACTATTCGTTTTTTGTTGACCACCTGTAGTGTTTGCCAATGAAATTATCTTAGGTATAATTATTTCCAGCTGGTGCTCAGTCATGTAACGCTGGTTCGCTATAGTTCTCTCCTGGAACTTGATTGGATGATGTGGGATTGGTTCAAACAAAGTGGATCTGGAGAATTAAGTGTCGACTTGCTGGGAATGAACAGCATTCGTTGATTCAGGAAATGAATTGGTTCATGACACACTCTTTGGATCTCTGGGCTTAGGGGGAGGCATCAAGTATTTTTAAGTCAAAAGGCTCAAGTCCAAGTGAAGCCACAAGTCACTGGGACTGAGAAACTACGATGAAGCATATTGATTTCTCTCAGTACAGCTGATGGTTCATTTGTTAAATATTTATTACACTTTAAACAACCAGAAGAATCAGTCCATCCATGCTGACAAGCTTTAATGTTCCATGATTGATTTGCAAAACATGAATATATGACATAACAGTTTGATAATCTATCCCACAGTAACTGTAAGATGGACGCAGCTGTAGAGCGGAGGGTTGAACTGAGGAGAAGCACATATTGTAATGTAAATGCAGGTTATGTTTTCAGTAGACCAGGGGCGTAAGTAGGGAGTAGGGGGGTCGTCTGCCAGAGAATTTTGAGCATCACTTAATTTCCTTCGTCTGGTGAAATTCTATGCACCAATTTGTGCATTTTCTGCCTTAATTTACAGTGTAAATGTCTTTAATTTTGTCAAAATAAAACTCCTCTGCTACTTTCATCTCTTTATTGCAGTTCTAAATATGGCGGGGAATGTGCCCCCTGTATCCCCCCTGATTTTTTACCCCTATGCAACAGACAAAACAAGCATGACATTATGTAGTTAATAGATGTTTAGTGCAGTTATGTCTGATTCTAGCTTTTGAATACTTTCTGCCATTATAATCAGAGGTTCAGGCACATTGTATGCACTGTACAGCCCTGGCAATATTTTACATCCTCTTGTATCCGTGCCAACAATGTCCACCTTTAACTAGACGCTTCGATACAAAGTGCAAAGGTCTTCGAATCAGCTTCAAATACTGCCAACAAAATAAGTGTATTCTGTAGAGAACAACTGAAGCTGATATCAGCAGGAGGCACTACCAACAGGCAATCAGGTGAATGTCTGTATCCACTGAATGGGTCAGTCCTTAAGATGGTGCAGTTTCACTGACATACAAGATGGCGGGCTGTCGTGTCTTTTCACATTAAGAGAAGAAGAAGAAGAAGTAGGAGGTCTCATTCACAGCCAGCTGGATTTCTCCTCCTCAAATTTCAGCGGATCAATAAAAGGCTTGTCGATGGACTTGATCATCAGTTCGCCGCAGTACACACATTCAGACGCAATGATGTCATCAATGTCTGATTTTATCTGCTCGCGGCTCGTGCCCGCGCTGCCCTTTCCCAGGCTGGCAGTGTCTCCTTCGTCCTTGGGGGCCGGGCGGTGACGTGACTTGGAGGATTGCGTGGTTGCAGCCAGCTTTTTCTGCAGCTCCTCCAGACGACTCTGCTTATAGGGCGTCAGGTGAGGGGTTATTTCCTGGAAGATTGAAGAAAGCAAGTTTCAAACATGATCATTTTTACTAAAATAGAAAAAAAAAATAAAAGTAGAGAACACCGAAACAGCAGTATGGAAGCAGCCTTTGAGAGTTACCTGGAACAGGCAGTCGTAGTGGAACATGTGTCCACACAGGAACAGATAGAAGGGCCTGTTGAGCAATGGGAAGTCACAAGCAGCACATTTTTCTTGGGAGTCCACTACGCCATATTTGTTCCTCATTTCCTGGATGTCTTCTCTGATGCGTTTGGCGCTCTCCGTGGCCTCCTCCATTTCCTGCTTCAGCTCCTCGATGTGCTGGTTGTACTCCTCCAGGGAGCTGCAGATGGCCTCCTGAGAAACCAGAATCAACGGAGGATAAGGTACATTAGTTTGAAGCAATTTACAATATTTTGTGTACTGAGCATACGGCATCTATCATTATTTAAACACTCAGTATGTAATTTTCGGCTGCTGGGGGTTTCTTAATCAAAACAACAGTCAGTTTCTTACACTTAGGATTCCTTCTGTGTTGATTGTTCAGGAGGTTTTTAGCGGGAGATGCGGGGAGGCAACAATGGTTTGAGTTGAAGGTGTGAGAAAGAATAGTATCAGTAACATTGTTAACACTGCGCTACATTACAGAGAAATACAAACCGTACTAATGAACCTTCATTAATATAGGCCTATATTTTATCTCCAAGTGCACGTCACACACTGAGCGAGCCGCCTGTTAATGACGCTGTGGGCTAATGGGCATGTAGCTACTTCCATGTTTCAAATGATACGTCATGTTTGTAGTCGACCAATGAAGATGAGTTTACATATCACCTTGGGTTCGTCCTTCACCTTCTCAAAATGATCCCACACTTTGGATTTCCTGCCCGACATGTTATTAACTAGCCTGTGGAATAACCGCAGGTACCAGCCCTGGAGATTAACCTGACTCCTGTCTGACTGCTGAGCGTGGACACTTCCTGTGTCTGTCCTTTCACATTAAACTCACACATGGTCCAGTCATATAGGTTTGGATTTATTTTGACAAAGCGCAGCTCCTGATAGAGTTTCACAGGTTTTCTTTCTGCGACTGAGCAACCAATGAAATCTTGTCGACTAACATTTGGTTGACTATTAGGGGGCAGGCCTAGTATGGAATGGAATGGAAAAATAATGAAATCAAGAACATAAAAACTTTGTCGCAGACCTTAAAATGGTCAATGGTGACAAAGTCTGGGAAGAAGGGCAGGATGTCTTCAATCTTGAGCAGGTTGCAGCTGGACAGACAGTTCATGGCTTTCTTTACATCTTTCTCCTCCTGAACAACATGCCGGGCGATCTTCAGCCAGAGCTTTTTCCTCAGCTCCTCGTCATCTTCAGGCAGGTCTGCACATGACTTAGCCAAGTCTACATCTACCTATGGATGATAAACACATTGCAAGTTGGTCAAATTCTGATGTAAGGTAACAGGAATTCTTGACAAGAATCTGGGTAATTATTTATACGCAATTATAAAAATACAGACACCATAGTTGCATGATTTGAATATGTTTTGTGTATAACACTTACTTGTAAAGCAAGATCCACTGCCTCCTCATACAATTCCATAATCCTATAAACCAGCACACAGGCCCGCAGGTAGCCATTTTCTGCACACAGCCTGAGGGCGTACTTCAAGTCATAGTGGATCTCTGAGGCGTGAGTACCTGCCTGCTCCAGGTACCACAGCAGAGAGTCCGGCTTATACTTGGCGTAGAGCGACAGCAGGTAGTTATGGATGGCCTCCTCTGTCACGGTCAGCTCGTACACACAGAACTCCATGTAGCGGATGGTTTCACTGATCTGCTGGGTGCTGCCCATCTGGCTGTAGTTCATCAGAGCTGGGATGAGCTTCTTCGGGTCCAGCCGCTTGCCCATCTGAATCCACGCATCTACCACTTTTTTGGGAATGTGCTGCATGAGGACAGGGGAGAACTTGTAAAAAAGCTTCTCATCACAGTGCTTGGAGAGCACATCCAGAGCGTCGCTAAATTTGTCGTGTTGGCAGTAGTGGGATATCACTCTCTCGTAGTCTTGCATGACGACTGAGAAGTAAACCATGTCGTCCACGTTGCCGTGGCTGGCCAGCAGGTCGTAGATGGTGCTGCGGTTGTTGAAGAGGCACTCCTTGTGCTTGGAGCTGCCGAGGAATTGGCGGAACTCATCGCGGGTCTCCTTGAAGATGACGGTGTTGCCGTCGACTTCCAGCTGGCCGAGCCTGTTCAGGTAGAGCTCAGTTAGCCAGGTGACCAGCAAGGTGATCTGCGTTCTCTCACTCTGTTTCAAATTATTCAGTTTCTTCAATAAGAACTCCTTTAGGGCTTCCTCTTGTTTGGCTTCAATGAACTTAAGTGCTATCTCTTCAAAGTAGTTTTGCGTCAGAGCGTAGCACTTGGCACTCTCAATGTATCGCTTGTTCTGGAAGCAGTGCTCGGCCTCCTTGGCCAGCACCATGTCCATGCATTCAGGCCGGTCACGGCAGTACTCCTTGGCCAGATCAAACTTAGTCATGCTCATGTACATCTGCCAGACGTCCCTGGCCTCGCGCTGAATGTGGTACCGGAACACTGCCTTCTCGGTGTAGATCCACACCAACCCACCAACAGGGTCCTTAATCATCCTCTTAAGGGTGCCAAACTTATCTGGGAACACATCCTCATATACCACCTGTCCATTCAGAGTGCAGATGGCCTTAACACGGTCATGGAGCAGCAGCAGGAAGTGGAACTGTGTCAGCACGATGGAGATGGGCTTGTTGAGGCTAATGTCAATGTCCGGGGTGTACTCCCACACCTGTTTGATCGCAGGGGAGGAGAAGAACATACGTAAAACATAAAGTTAAGAAAAAAAAAGGTGAATGTGGTTTGTTGAGCTGTTGAAGACCCATTGAAAGCAAACAATCTCACACACAGACATTTACCTGCACGTCACTCAGCAGGGAATCAGGCCTGACATAGTCCAGCTGACCATAAAGAACTCCATTACCCATCATCCAGGCGAACGCCTTGGGGGAGGTCCTGAGCTTCGAGGTGTAGAAGGTGATCTCACTGTAGCCCATGTTGGCAGGGAACTCCTGGAAACTGGGCAGCAGGTCCTGGTTCTGGCTAAAGATGGAGCTGAAGCCTTGCTGCTCGGACCCCTCGGCCACCTTCCCTACAAATTGGAAGAGGCGTTTGCGGGTGGTGGCGATGATGAAGTATTTGTTCTCCAGGCCCCGCTCCACCTCCAGGCAGCAGACTGGTGCCGGCCGCCCATCCTCCTCGAGGAAGTGGACCTGTGTCGGGAAGAGAATACTGTATTAAGGACACGCTATTAGGGATGTACTGATATACTGGCTGATCGGTAACAGACCATATTTGCCTTGTTTACTGCCATCGACCTACAGGCAAATAAGATGACACTCAGGGATGGCAGTGTCCGATATTTGAACAAAGATCTTCTCTAAGACTCCTTCAGGATGAAATGATGCAGTGAACCAACTGTCAACGTGTCAAGGACCCTATTTTCTCACGGATAATGCTACATTGTTAACAACTAGGCTGTGCTGACACTTGCAGGAGGAGAGCTAGTTAACTTTAGCTTTTAGTAGCTGATGGCTGGAACTAACAGCTAACCCAATTTGCATTGAGTTACATTATGATGTGTTCAAGCTCAATGCAGTAAAAATTAGTATTGGGTGAAGGTAAATTATAACGTTCTCATGATGTGTTCAGTGTAATCTTGTAAAATTTTGTTTTGGGCAAGAACCTTGAATAAATACAGTTGTTTAAAGGAGAAATTTCTGTTTTTTACAGAAATATAAAATAGATATTTGAGAGAAAGTTCTGATATATTTCATACCACAAAAAGGCTTCTAAAATAATAATATATCTTTTTTAAAAAGATGTTAAGCATGTGAAAGCAGGTTATATTCAAGGTTGTTTCATAATGTGTAAGAATGAATTTGTGTTTATTAAAAGGTAATGAATGAATTTAAAACAGCTATTTTTATAATGAACATTTCTTTATCTCCCTGGCACAACAAGAGGGAATTTTCAGTAACAAAAACAAAATAAACAACAAGTCAAATTGTTATTTTAAACATTAGTATCAGCCGAGAATTTCACAATCAGTAGAACCCTGATTATTGTTTAGATGCAGACCAAGAGGAAGAAACAAAATCTGTAGTTCAGTGTCTTCTACAGTAGTATAGACCAGTGGTTCCCAACTGGTCCAGCCCCGGGGCCCTGACTTCTCCTTAGTCTTAGTCCCTTAGTCTCCTTAGTTCAAGCTTCACACAATTTAATACATGGAGCGTCATACTTGTGTTTGGCCGTGTCGTCAAGCTAGTTTGCTGACGCTGTCAAGAAGCTGTCCATCAGTCACTCACTCTACAGCAGGAAATGGTACTAAAAAGTAAAAGCTCTGCACCCAGATTCACTTCACTTAAAAATAAAGTGTGTTTTTTACAAACTTGACACATTAAGAGTCACTTGCAGTCCATTCAGAATTGACCATGACCCACCAGTTAGGAACTTCTACTACAGACCATCCAAACAGTACTACCAAACATAGCAAGAAATAAGTAACACACTACATATAACAGATGACCACACATGCTCTGACCTGTCTGAAGTACTGATCTGGGTTGGTGTTGAACAGGCTGCCCTCAGTTGCAGAGATCTCAGCCTCGAAGATGATGCCTTGACTGGTGCCAACCAGGATGGGCCCTGTGCTGGTCTCATTGCCCAGCAGCTTGTTCCAGCCCACGCTCTCGATGAGGTGGCCCCTCCAGCGGGACAGACTGCGCACCTTCTGCGTGTTCCTGTTGAGGTACAGACACTCGCTGGTGCTCAGGCAGATCAGCAGATGGGAACCTGCAGTGGGAAAATACGGAGGAGGAGACAGCTGCTGCCGTTAGTAAGTCATTACCATGACGGTGCCACAGTTGTCTTGTAAATGATGTAGTAGTGTAGGGTGTTTGAAGTGTTTTGCACTAGAGTTTTACATTAATTCAAGCTAAGCTATAATGAGTTTTGTGGCTGGAAATATCCATGTCATTGTACCTCATGAGTTACGACACAATAGTCAATAAATGTTCTGTGAACAATATACAGCATGCTGGTGGGATGTACAATGACTTGCAGCAGCTCAAAATACAGTCCACTGGAGAAAGAAAGCAGTGTTAACAATGCACGCGTCATCAAAATAAACAATCTGTGCATTCCAATACCCACACTACCAGACTATACAGGAAGCCAGGAGAGGAATAAGTATGTATATCTTATCTTACATCCCAATACATAGTATATCAAATGCAGTATGCCAAAAATACCAGGATGTTCTACTACAGTACATCCGGTCTGATTGTGCAGTATGCAAGGCAGCATCCTTTTCTGACCCACAGTCCTCTGCGCAGTGGACGATACATTACATCGACTGAGCTGCAAACAACTGACAGCTGTTTGAGGGCTGACTGACAGCTGTCAGAAGTCCCAGTGATGGATGACAGCACATTCAAGTAACCGATGACCAGTTGAATAGTAATAATACGGACATTAATTGTTAAAGTAAACAAAATAATCATAAATATCACAAACAACAAAACGATATAACTATAAAATAACAACGACAGAGTCGCAAATATACTATGTTAGAATCTACAATCTGTGCAGTCCTAACTTTGAAGTTAAACTACACACATCACAAAGTATCAACAGCAGAGCTCTCTGGGCTGATCTTTGTTTCTGGGGAACTCAGTAGGTGGCGTTTATTTTATCTCCAATGTCACGGATGTAAAAGCAAGAGGGTCAAAGTTCAGTGCGTGTTATGAGACAGTAGTATGTCCTGGTTGTGTGCATACTGCATGCAACAGTACATACTTTTTAAAAGCAGCTGCAGTACATACTAGAAGTGAAAATAAAAACTATACAATGCGGAACGCACCCAGTATGTTTGTGAGTTGTCTCATTATGGCCTATGTATATAATGTCAAAGGAGAATCTGAATAAGTTTTGAGGTTTTACTCACCAGTGGGGTCCAAGAACAGTCTGTGCACTTTACTTTCATCTTTCCTTCCTAATTCAATCTGATTAGGCTGATCTGGTTTGGCCAAGTCAATCCTGCACAGACAAGAACATAAAGCATTATCATCAGCTGCATTATCAACTCTTTCAGATGCTCCCATAAACAACAACAGATGAGTACTAATCACAAAGACGAGCCATTAATTTAACTAATCCACTCAGGACAACATAAACACTGGTGACTATTAACACAGTGATTAAAGGTGCTTATGACAGTGTTGTTTGCCTCAGCAGCGTGTCCTTCCCCAGACTCATGCATAGCTGATTGTTGCAGACTGCGAGATGGTTAATCTTCTCAGGCGGTGTAAAGTCAATCCTCTGCTTGTTGAATATCGGCTTCTCTTCCTCCAGTCTCACATTCACAAAACCTGAAGTGAGGGAACAGGTGCAGCGTCATGTCAGTGAGAGCACCGAGTCAACAAAATGACTGCAACACTTAGATGTGTGCTTTAAAGTCATTATATAGCAGCCTCACATGTAGCTAGCTAGCATCTCCATAGAGAGGGCGACCTACCTGAGTGTGCTATCCCGATGTTGGCAGTTGACAAGCGGCTGTGCTGCTGCGCACTCTGCCTGGTGATCTGCGAGTCCTCGTACTCGTCAAGAATTGAAGCCATGTTTAAAAGTACCGTATTTCACCTTATTCCACTGCCCGTTAACGAATCCTCTACAGATATAATGACTGGCGAAGAAACAATATTACAACGACATGGCTAACTAGCTAGCTAACGTTAGCTAACACAACTTCCAACCGTTACAGGCGCGCGAGCATATTTCCTCTTCTTCGCGTGCGTCTGAATTAAGATGTGGAAGATAATATCTTACGCGGCAGTACACATGTAAAGGAATAAAATATATCTTCAATCATTCATGCTGTCATAATCGATAGCTTAGCTTCCGACTACACAACACAGGGTGGACACGGATAATCAGGTGACACACGGAGTCATGTGATCACATTTGGAGTAGTGCTTCTCTCTGACGCTGGGGGGCGCAGTGAGTCCAAACTTCACAGTGAACCATGGAGTGAATGGATTGTTATTGTTTGTTTCACTTGTTTGTTTCAGCGCACTGTAATTTTATTTTATCATAGATTGTAATTATTTTCCTTATTATTATTATTATCCTAATGTATCGTTTTAAAATTTTACAATGAATTTACAAACAACACGGCTGTGTAACCATGGCATTACAGATCCTTGGCATGTGCCTTGGTCGCAAAAATAAATAAATAAATAAATAAATAAAATAAAATAAAATAAAATAAAATAAATAAAGTATACAAAATAATATTTAAATTAATAATTAATAATCAGAAACAAATACACATAAAATGATAATAAATAATCAAACATAAAATGGTCTTCAAATATAGATTTAGATCAGTGTGGCAATATTCATTTGTAAATTTAACTCTTTTGCAGACATGGTAGGCTATATGATTTGCAGTGGTGAAATATAACAAACTACTTTTTTCAAGGACTGTGCTGAAGTATAAATTTGAGATACTTGTTTTTGCTTCTTCATTGCCTACGTCTGCTCGACTACATTTTGGAAGCATCTACATTTGGCCTTCCTAATGCTTTTTCCCACTTTTCTATCCATCTATCCACAACCCGTTGGCTCCCACTCAGAAACGCCCAGATGGCACTATTACTCCCACTCACAGTCTCAAGTATGTGCATCAAGGGACTGTGAGATCTAGTCCTAAACTGAACTTTTTTACTCCACTACATTTATTTTATGATATTAGATACTTTGCAGATTCAGATGATTAATATTCCACAGATATACTGTGATGTATTATATGGATACATCGAAAACTTTGGTGAAATTCACAAGCTATCCAATACTATATGGACCGTAGTAAAAAGCAAAAACAAAAACACTAGTCCCACTTTTACAATCTGCAAAATTAGAGCGATGTTCACATGAATTCATCAACAAATAATTATAATTCAGTAACATAACACCCTATATAATATTCTGACATGGGTCATTCTGCATGATGAGTACTTTAACTTTTTGTCCTTTATGTTTCTGTTTTGTAATACTTTTTTACTTTTTACTTACTTAAGATTTTGAATGCAGGACTTTTACTATAAAGTCAAATATTTCTACAGCACTGACAGTCACTCAATTCAATTTCAGTTCAGTTCAACGGGCTTTATTAGCATGACACTTAACTTGTGTTGCCAAAGCACAAATACAATTAAAAGGCAGTGATGAAAATTTACAACTGATTACACAAAGGACAATAGTCAACAGAGCAAAACAGGAAATTAATTCAATGAGCAAAATAGAGAAATATATTTTAAAAAGGCAGTGTACTACATAATATATTATATTGTATAATCAGCAGTATAGTATGGAACCTGTATGCAACACCTATATATTAAATATGTAGCCTCTATATCATATATATAACATGTAAAATATGAATTATTTTATTTTTATTTACTCATATTAATTTAATTTCATCTATTTTGTTTTATTTTTGTTTATTTAATTTTTTTAATGAAATGCTTTGGCATCAACATATCTTTGTTCATGCCAACAAAGCTATTTGAATTGAACATATATATATATATATATATGTACAGAACATATATAGACATACATGTACACATACATGGCTCATATGGGTTATATATGTTTACCTATACATGTGTTTGTATGTGGAAACAAACAAACAAAAAATGTAATACTGTGATAAATAAAAAGCAGACTGTGAGGTGTAAGGAGATCAACTCTGGCTTTTATGTATTGTTAGTGTGTGTGTGTGTGTGTGTGTGTGTGTGTGTCCCTCTCTCTCTCTCTCTCGGTGGGCGTGTCTATGCAAATCACAACCTGTCTGAGCGCAAACTTCCCCTACAAACCTGCACATGATGCTCCTCAGTCAGTCAGAACAGGATCTGCAGCCTGTGAGGCGGTGTGTCACTGACACACACACACACACACACACACACACACACGGAGCTGACTCTCAGTACTACAGAGATCAGTGAGGAGGAGAATCTGCCTTCACCAGGTTAATGTGCGGCTCGACATGCCACCTCACATGGATTACTTCTATCACGAGTCCCGAGTGCCCTCTGCTTGCGGGCTGACCCGGGAGGATGAGCTGGAGCCCGGGGTCATCAGCTGTATGCTGGTCGGGGACGGAGCCGTCGGGAAGACCAGTATGATCATCAGCTACACCTCCAACGGATACCCGACAGAGTACCAGCAGACTGGATTTGATGTCTTCTCTGGTGGGTGAACTCAACGTTTATTATTTACGTTTCTCAGATGATCATTAAGATGAGTATTTAATCATAAGAAGCTGCTAGTTTTATTACGTGTAAGTTATATATTTACTTAAATGCTGGTGTGTTTGCTGTGGCTCAGTAGGTGTAACACATATGCAAGGCTATGCTGAAGGGCTTAACTTTAAACACATTGCCTATGTATGTACATTTTCATGTGTGTGTGCATGTTATGCACCATGTATGAGTGTTTTTTGTGTGAAGTGAACTGAAGTGATACTGACTGATCCATGTTACTGATCTCCAACAGGTCAGGTCCAAGTAGAAGGATCTCCAGTCAAAGTGCAGCTGGTGGACACTGCTGGACAGGTGAGATTATTTCATCTCCCTACAAGAAATGTAGACAAATGCCTCCTTGTTATAGTTACAGGGTGTTTTCAAGTGTTTAATTCACGGTCTTAAAGTCTGAACTGTTTTGTGACACTGAGTTCATTGTGTCAAGTGACAACATATATATCAAATACAACCCCAGTTCCAAAAATGTTTTGGATGTGAATAAAAACAGAATGCAAACACTTGCAAAGTGGGGAAAATAAGAATTCATTTTTTTCCATCATACATATTTCCAGTGCAGCTATCTACATGAAATTTAGACCAGACTTTGGTATCAACTCAAGAAAACATTTCAATCCATTAAAATCGTGTGTAATAAACTGGAATAACTCAGGAAAAGAGTATTGACCACTCTAACTGGAACTTATTCAGTATTTGGAGAGGCATTTCTCAGTAATGGCAGCTTCCTGTTGCTTCCCGTTTGAAGAGACTAATCCCTCACAGTGGTCAGACAGGATTTTGGCCCATTCTTCCATGCAGACACTCTTAAAGTTTGGGGATTTGGAGGGGCGCTTCTTGCGAATTCTGAGAAACAAATTTCACTTTCAGAAGTGTCCTCAGATCCCAAACACTTACTGAGTGTGGTGTCAAACATGCCCTTGACCCAACCTTTTTGGACTGGTTATCTCATCTTTGTAGTGTATTCAATTGAATATAGGTGAAAAGGGGTTTGCAAATCATTCTGTTCTGTTTTAATTTTCATTTAACACAGCATTCCAACTTTTCTGGAATCAGGGTTGTATGTGAAATAGGGCTGCTGGGCAATATGGAGTAAATCAAATATCTTGATAAAGATACTGCAGCCATGTTGTAGGGTTGGCTATTGGTGCCTTCACAAAATGTTAACACATGAGATTTTTGATAAATAATCATTAGTGATGTGAGTATAATGAAAAAATGGGTAAAGGCAAATGATGGAACAGCTAGAACGGTCAGGTAAGTTTAGAAAATGACATCACTTCACTGTAATGCAGCCCTTCAAACCAGGAAAAGACAACACTTACCTTATAATGACAGCCAGAATCAAAGGTGATGTCTCGTCTTACGTCAAGGAATACGTATAATATTGATATACTGCCCAGCTCTAATATCAAATCCCCTCACTATGAAGGTAAAACGTTGTTGCTTCAGCCCGTACGTGACTCAGTAACAGGATTTCACCATGAGTATTAATCTTTCCCCAGTGAGTCACTGTCTTTCACTCACATAGTTCGATTGACACTAACACGTTCTCTGTCTCCATCTTCCATCCAGGAGGAATTCGATGAATTCAGAGCTCTGTCCTACGCCCACACGGACGTCTTCCTCCTGTGCTTCAGCATGGTCAACCCCACCTCCTTCCACAACATCACCAAGAAGTGGGTCCCGGAGATCCGGGCGTACAACCCGTCCTCGCCCATCGTCCTCGTCGGCACTCAGTCAGACCTCTTGCTGGACGTGAACGTGCTCATCAACCTGGACCGCTCTAACGTCAAGCCCATTCCGAGCTCCCGGGCCCGGAGCATGGCGGACAAGATCAGGGCCGCGGACTACATTGAGTGCTCTTCGCTCACGCAAAAGAACTTGAAGGAGGCGTTTGACGCAGCCATCTTTGCCGCCATTAAGAACAAAACCCGCAAGACCAAGAAGAGGAGGTTCTCTGACAGGCGCACAAAAGCGTTCTCCAGGTGCAGCTGGAAGAAGTTCTTCTGATTCATCTGAACTCAGAAACTGTGGACAAAACTTTAACTTATTAAAATCATTTAATCACGCTTGTTGTCGCAGCTCTGATTTCTGGCAGTTTAGCATCCTTTGGCTTGTTTTACTCGGGGATGCTGAATGGTGCAAGGGAAAACAAGGCGTGAGCACAGTTAGCATTGGGAGCTAACATCTGTGGAGACAGCAGAGAGGATTGTGGGGCTGGTTTCACACTCCTGCACACTCAGGGCAGCATATCTGACATATTAGATATCAAAGCTTCAGTGTGCATGCCTCACTTGAGAGAAGGCAGTGAATTGAGACTTTACAGGAACATATCAACACACAGCCGCAGAGAGAAGCGACAGGCCTTCATGTAAATGTCCTTAATTTGCATGGCGTGCTTTGCTAGCAGCTGCAGCCTGTAATGTGAGTGAGGGACAGAAACAGAAAGTGTCAGGGGCTGTGTTTGTGCAGATGGGCGTCAGCCACTTCTCTATTGTGCTCTGACAATCTGGCCACACCAGCTCTATTTATATGTGGCAGCTGCGACTTCAGGTTGCAGTGCGAGCTGCTACATTCTTACCTGTGTGTGAAAGCTCCCCTGGCTGGTT